AACACGTTTCAACACGTTCTCAACACGTTTCAACAAGTTCTCCACAAGTCTTCAACAAGTTTTCAACAAGTTGTCAACAAATGGTCAACAGATGGACCAACATCCTTTCAACAAATGGACCAACAAATGGACACACCAGTTTCTGTTTTCCCAATATTTGGTCAGCGTTGGTTTCCTTCACTTCTGGTGGAACACATGACCCCCCCCCCCGCCAAACAGTTTTTAAACACATGACCCCCCCCCCCCGTGGCGGCGGCGTACCTGAAATAAGTCGCCACACTGTCCCCAATAAATTGTCTCAATGGCACCGAACCTGACACATGTCACCGTGAGGGTGCTGAATCCGGATAATAGTCTGCCGCAGCGGTGCTGGAGCTAAAAAAAAATCACCGTCGAGCCTAAAAATAAATTACCACTAGGATCCCAAACCTGAAATACATCGTCATAGTGGCTCCATACCTGAAGGTAAATCACCACAGAGGTCCCGAACCTGAAATAGATCGTCACAGTGCTCCCGGACCTGAAAATAAATCACCACAGAGGTCCCGAACCTGAAATAGATCGTCATAGTGCTTCCGGACCTGAGAATAAATCACCAAAGAGGTCCCAAACCTGAAATAGATCGTCACAGTGCTCCCGGACCTGAGAATAAATCACCACTGAGGTCCCGAACCTGAAATAGATCGTCACAGTGCTTCCGGACCTGAGAATAAATTGCCACAGAGGTCCCGAACCTGATATAGGACGCCGCAACGTCTCCGGACCTGAAAACAAAATGCCGCCAAGGTCCCAAACCTGGAATAACTGTCATAGTGGCCCCGGTCCTGAGAATAAATCACCGCAGTTGTCCCAAATCTGAAAATAAGTCACCGTAGTGAAATAGGTGTCACCAAGCCCATACCGTACGTGAAGCACGTCAGACACCGTAGGACGTAGCCACTCCGTAACAAGCCTCATATCCGTACCGAACCAAACACCATGGTCGGCCCAAGGTAGCACCTGCCCATGCGTCTCCTGCTCTTAGAACGTCCCAACAACGGTAGTGTTAGTAATCAAGCAAACCAGCGAAAACGACGCAGGAAACCTCGGCCATCGGCAATATTGAACACTGTTAAAATCCAGGAAAAATGTTCAATCCGGGGTCAGAGCTAACGACGGGTAATCGAGGCGAAATTAAACCAACCTCCTAATAATCATGGGTTCCCGTCCCTTTCATCATTTTTCATCATTCTTCCCTTCCCTTAATTCTATTGTAATAAATAGTAAATTAACCGTAAGATTCCCAAAATAAAATTTCGAGAAAGTTTAAATAAATGGCCGAATTCCTTTTGTTTCTTTTCTCTTCTACAATTTTTAATATTTTTCCTCTGTTTTTAATTTCATTGCCGGGAACATAAAATAACAAGGGTATTCCCCCTCGAATTAAATGCCGTAAAAAATAAAGAAATTAAGGGATATTATGTTTTTCCYTTCTCCCCTACTGGTCGTAATCCCTCTTCCCCATCTTTAATTATGGTACTAAAATAGACAAAAATTTGAGGCCTCATTTYGRCCCTGGTCGTRTGCCGCCAAAAAGGTGGCTGCGAGGTCARTTCCCKCGATACCTCTCYGCGGCAGGCCAATCCGGGTCTACCCCTCTGAACGGYCGGAAAAGACGGTCCGTTGATGTGCCGAGCGCGACCACCCATCTTGCCATCTTTGAAGGTTACCCGTAAGGTTCAGCGCGCCCAAAATCAAGGGVSCCCTGAGCTCCCCTAATTTCCGCTGCCTGGTCTAACCAGAGTACCGTCAAAACTCAGACTCGTCTTCGCGCCTAAGTCCCAAAACCGTAGATTTCAGGCGGCGCACTGCTTGTGGCCGCCTGACAGTTAGCACGGACCACTTCTCGTCGCCCCCATCGAGCCCTAGCAACTTACGTCAGACGAAGCGGATGAGCTTCAGGGTGATGGGCCGTAAAGGTCGCCCACGTCGGCATTCAATTGTCTTATGTTTCAGTTTGTTATGAGTCCTGGAGCTAAGAATATGCTTCTTGACTCTCCTGTCTCTTCTGGTTTTTGGCCCCGGCACGATCCTCTTTTTCTTCTGTCTTTGCCTCGAGAAGGGTGTCGACCCGCCGGTACGTCTAACGCGAACTCTCCGTTTAGCTCGCTTGAGCACGAATAACCATCTCTTCTCTCTTCCTAAAGCTAACCCTTTGACCTTTCTCTTCTCTATTCTTTTCCTTTTCTTGGAACTCTCTCCTGCCCCGAATTGCCTCAAGGGGGCTCCATCCTCCATTTTGGCTTTCCCTTTCCCTTTCGGGCTCGTCAGCGATAAGATGGGAGTGGGCCTGAGCCTAAACAGCTTTAACCTTGCACCCGCCACTGGGTCCTTCCACTTGGATCCGTCTAATTCTGCTATTATATATGCACCCAATCGAGTGCCTCAACCACTCTGTAAGGTCCCATCCATCTGTTGGCAAGTTTTCCGGTCCAGGTCCTTTCCAGCGCTGCATCGTAGAGAAGGACCATATCTCCTACGCTCACCCTCTCTTTCCTGATTCGCACGTTCTTATCCCATCTCTCTTTACCCTTGTCCCTTTCCACTACCAGACGATCTCCCGCTGTCATGAGGTCATCTTCCAAACCGTAGGCCATTTGTCTCGTTCGGGCAGCTAAGAGTTCCTCTCTGGACATCTCCTCCGCCCAGTCGACGGTTGTCCAGCTGTCGACGTGAAACTCTATGGGAAGCGGACAATGTCGCCCAAACCACAAGGTGTACGGTGGGTATCCGGTACTAGCCCGGACCGTGACGTTGTCCGCCCATATTGCGTATCGAAAGTATCGTGGTCAATCACTGTCCTTACCCTTGCACCACTTGGACAGTGACGCTATCAGAGTTTGGTGTCCCCTCTCTACTGGGGAGTTCGACTGTGGGTGATAGGCGGTGGCTATCGAAACTCTCGCACCGACTCTCCTAAACACGCTCTGAACCTCGTCGGCTAGGAATTCCGCCCCTCTGTCCATCACTATCTTGCTGACACAACCATACCTAGATAAGTACTCTTGGACAAAGTTCTTTACTTCCTTTGCCGCCTTACTCCTGATAGGTCTACCGTCCACGAACCCAGTGAAATCGTCTCATATGTTCACGACGTAGTTCATATTGCCTACCCCTCTCGGCATTTTCACTAGATCGATGTGTACCTTCTCTCCTGGTCTGGTCGGATAGGATGGATGAAGTGGCTCTTTGTATTTCACAAGAGCTCTCTTCTGGCACTCTTCGCATGTCATACAGTACCTCTCGACGTCCTTATACCGTCCTTCCCACCAGTACAGCCGGCGTATCTTTTCGTAGGTTCCTTTAACTCCCCTGTGTCCTCCGAGTACCCCGTCGTGAAGCTCCGCAACTATCGTCTGTCTCTCCTCAGGATCACAGACTACTCGTAAGTGCATTCCCGACCCTACTGGCCTTCGGAAAAGGTGGCCCGCTCTAAGGCAGTACTAAGCTGCTTGCCTCCGGATATCTGAATCTTGACTTTCCTCTCCCGTCAGGTGTAGTCGGATCATTCGGTACTTGCCCTCGTAAAGATTAACTAGAAATCTCTCGGCGCGTCTCGACTCTGCCATTGTCACGGCCCCAGCTACTATCGGACGCTCGAGAGGGATGCGTGAAAATCCATCTGCCACGGCATTTTTAGTACCAGATATTCTCTCAACCGTGTAATCGTATAGCCAAATCTGTATTAACCATCGGGCGATGGTCGGGTCCGTCAGACTAAAGTCCTTCTTGAGGACAGAGGCAACCGCGGTGGGGTCTACTCTCAAGATGAACCGTCGCCCATAGATATAGTGTCTGAACGTGTCTAGACACCGGAAAACAGCGAACACTTCCTTCTTGAATTGACTGTAGTTACACTCAGCCGTATTAAGTGTCATACTCTCAAATCTTAACTGTTTTTCCTTCCCTCCAGCGTCCTTCTGAGACAGCAAACCACCCACTGAACATGGTCCAGCATCCGTGGATACTATGAAGGGCCTCTCGGTCTCATCGTCAAAGAATGGCACACCCAACACGCGTCCTCCTTCCTTAAATTCGTCTTTAAGTTCTTGCATAGCAAGTTCCTGCGAAGAATTCCAATAGAAGTTTTCAGTCTTTCGAAGGAGTAACCTCAATGGCCCAACCTTCTCCGCATACCCCCGTATGAATATACGCCAATAACCGACCACTCCTAGAAACTGCCGGACCTCGGTTGGGCTATGTAACGGTGAGAGCCAGTTCAAAAGTTTTTCTAACTTCGCCGGATGTGCTCGGCGTCCCCTCGAGTCACAGATAAAGCCCAAGATCTTAATAGTCGAGACGACCCATCGACTCTTTGTTCCGCTGACTGTTAGATTCGCATCGTCCARCTGCTCGAGTACCGCGCAAATATCCGTTAGGTGCTGCTCGACGAATCTTCTAACTCCAGGTGCAACCTCTGCCTCATCCTTGTTTACTGACCCTTTTATAGGAAAGTCATCCAGAAAAACTTCAASCTTATCTGGGATGAAGTCCTTGAGGACGGCTACCATGGCTCTCTGAAAAACGGCTACCCCATTAGTCCAACCCATAGGGACAACCATCATCTGTATCAGTCCCAATTACGTATGCATAGCCGTGAGGTGCCTGTCCCTAGGGTCAAGCGGTACCTCATCATAGCCTGAGAACAGATCACAGACCGAATAGATCGACCTACCTGCTGCGCCTTCTGCAAGTAAATCAGCGTGTGGCACGGAGCCCACGTCTCGTATCGTCACCGCGTTGACCTTTTGAAGGTCCTGGATCCATCGGATGTTGCCATTCGGCTTTCATAGGAAGAACCATCGATTAGCATAAGCGCTATCAGACGGCTCCGCAACGTGGGAAACCATCTTTTCTTTCAGGAAAGCGATAACTTCTTCCTTCCTCTTCTGGGCGTATTTCCATCCTGCGTCATTCCAAGGAACATGTTGAATCGTATAAATCCTCGCTGGCTTAGCTTATCGAGGGTCAATCCTACCGCGCTCCGCGTCGCTGAAAGCTATTGCCTTATCACATGTCTTCATAATTTCTATCACACGTCCTCGCTCTTGTGGGGTCAGATTTCCATCTCCGATATCCATCTCTGCTATCCTCTCTTCCGTTAGGCGTTGTGGCTCCTTTTTCTTTCTTTCTTTGATTTCTTTCGCGATCTCTTCTTCTGATMCCCCTTCCAGTGCCGATCGCTCCCGGCCCACCGCCGCTGGCTTAACTTTTTGAGTTACTCGCTTGTGTCGCTTGGGTAGCCCCCCATAGGGGGCCGTGCCCTTAAAAAAGACACGGATACCACACCGCCAAATTCCTCATCTTCTCCCTTTGGGTACGAGTTGCCGTCCACTATTAGCCGACTCCCTTAATCTTCCACCTCCACGATCCGACCTTTTTCCTCTGTGAGCAGTGGTCCATATCTCTTCTCGCGAAATCGCACCGCGCGGTCGGAAATAGGTAACGACTTAATGTGATCACCGGGTCTTGCACCCACAGCGAGAGCTGCTCTGTTCCTCGGGTCCCGAGGCTCCACTGTCTCAATCATTACCCGTGTCCCGTCTGGCTTCCTAATGGACAATGTTTGGCTCCAATCAGGTCGCTCTATCGTCACCGCATGCACGTGGCTCAGCCACGTTCGACCCAAGAGCAGGTCGGAGCTGCAGTTCTTGACTGCAAAAACAGGCAGGGTCACTCGTACCCCTTGGACCTCTATAGCTGCCTTGTGACAAACCCCAGTGATCTTTTGCTTTCTCCCATCAGCCGTCTCTATCTCGAATAGGTATGACCTATCGGGGCCCAGTCCAACCTGTACTGCCAGGTCCTCGTCTATGAAGACAGCCTCACTGCCGTTATTGATCACAGCATCGAGTACCGCTCCATCGTTTATAATCGTCTCCACGGTCCCGCTACCAAGTATATAAAACTTGTCTGGAGGCACACCTTCCCTTCCATCGAAAAGGACTGTCGCCATGCGATCCGCTCTGGCAGTCACCCCCGTTACTGCTACTGTAGAAGCTTCCGCCTTAGGGGCCCCCTGACCCTCCTCTGATAGAGGTATGCGAGTCTTCCGCGTGATCATCTGTAATTCATCACGAGCCGGCTTCGATGCCGCCAGGTACTCTAAAATAGAGCACTGCATGGGTTGCCGAAGAGCCCGCCTCAGTGACTCGACCGTGTCAATCTCGTCCAGCGAACTCTTCATTAAGAACTTCTTCACTCCCCTCTTTCGCGACGAAAGGATAACCTCCTCTCCATCGACCCACTGCCCGTCCTTCTCCGTCATCACGTAATCCGTGTCAGTCTTCTTCGATGTAGACCCTCTCGCCGACTTGGTGGCTGCCACCCTTATGGGTGTGGTCGCCATATCCCCCTCAAAGGTTATCTTGATACTCTGGCTCCTGACCGGCTCCTTTTCCTTACTCGGCTTTACTCTTCTCGCTTCGACATTCTCCTTCATCGAAGGGAACATCGATACATCTCCCAGACCATCTGCCCACTTGACGTACTTGCGGTCGTCAAGCACGACAAGTCCCTCATCTATTGCCCGTTTGAGGTCCGGGCAATCCCTCTTGATATGATCTTCTCCTCTGTAGTAAACGCATGAGTTCCGGGGAGTAGATGCCCTGTCGTCTGCGCCTCTAGAGATCGAACTCCTGGCCGCCTTGGGCTCAGGCGACTGGGGATATGGTTCTAATGAGACGTTATATCCCCCTCTCTTATTCCGACCGCGCGGATCGTTGCGTCGGTCTCCTCCAAACCCTCCTTGCTCATACCGCCCTCGCGAATCATTCCGGCGGTCCCCCGAGTCATATCGTCATCGTGACTCATCGCGTCGGTCCCCTCAGTTGTACCACCCCCGCGACTCGTCGCGCAGCTCTCTCGCATCTCCCCCTCGCTCAAACCGTCCGCGCGACCCATCTTATCGTTCCCAGTCCCGATCTCCTCTCTCATATCTACTTCCTCTGTAGCCATCTCGACCCGACCTCTCGTATCTGTCGTCCCTATATCCATCTCGGTCCGATCTCTCGTATCTGTCGTCCCTATATCCATCTCGTCGGCCCTGATCTGTCTCTTATCGGCCGCGGGAGTCGCCTGTACCCCGATCGGCCTCATAGCGAGGGGTTCGCGGGTAATCATCCAGCCTCCTTGCTTGCACAAACGGTTCGCGATCTCTGCGGTCTCCATTTATCTCATCGTCCCTACGTCGCCATGGCTCATCGTCTCTCTCTCTTCCTCTCGTATGATAATCAGTCAGCGTCCGAGGATTTCTATCCTCGACACTCCTCCAGGGATCGTTGTTCCTACGGTCCCAGCGAAGTGAATAGGGCCCGTCAGGTTTGTCCCGGTAGGCTATGGCCCCTGTAGTGGTCACATTCTCTGTAACCTGTCTCGTCAATCCCTTCACCATGTCCCATATCTCCTTCACTTCCTCAGCCACGACCTCATTTTTCTCCGACCAGGGATAATCCTTGAAATCAGGACATCTACCAGTGACATACTCCTTGTAGAGAGAGAAGTCACGTCTCCTCATCCCTCTCCACACCAAGTCCTTGTAATCGTCTGCCTCTGCCTTTATCGCGAGCTTTAGAACCTCTGGGAAATCAAGCCTGTTGCGTGGAAGATCTCTAAGTATACTCTTTTGTCTGCCTTTAGACAAGTGTCCGATGAAGATAGTACAGCGCTCGACCTCTGAAATCTTCCCCTTCTTCATCAGCACGTCGGAGATCCGGTGTCCCCGACACCTTTGCGATAGATGTTTGGGAGCATCACCACAAGAAATTCTGCAAACAGCCATACCTGTCATCAAACAAGCAGAAAGCTTAAACCTAGATGGTAAACCACGTACGCCGGTCATCGGCGTTGCGCAAAGAGACCGAGATCGTAAGAAAACGGAGGAAGAGAACGGTTGAGAACCGGTCGTCCGTGACAGACTGTATGGCCACGGGAATGAACACCATCGCACTACGTGATACGGCATTGCTGCAACTGCGGTGGTTCGACATCGATGACGAGTACATACGCGAGGGAGAAGGCATTGACAACCATGCGTGTAAGATACTCAAAGAGCTTCCTTGCAGACGCGATTTTCGTGCTGCGCTTACGACATACGTGGTGGAGAATGGTTGTCAACCTCCTTCTGACGACCTGCTTATACACACACGGACACACCTGACCATCGCCTGCGTACAAGACGGAACAAACAGGGGCACACTTGTTCAAACTGCAAGAGCGTCGCCACAGTTCCATGGGAGACCAGTGCACAGTGACATCGTAATTAGAGCAGGCAACGAATGCACATGGTTTGCATCAGTTGCCATGTTTTTTGTCGTGGACGCACCCGCGGACAACGGTAATATGAAACATAGCTAAGGATTTATGCAATGGTACAAGGAGGTCGACAGTGAACGGCAACACGTGACAGGTTGCAAGAAATTGAAATAGGAGAAGTTGAATGGACATCAACACAGTAGCGTCGTTTCGACCGACACTATTGTAGACACAGTTCATATTGTTCCGCGCTTCTCTAAACCACAATGGGGATCGAAGCAGCATGCAAAACAGCGTGAGGACTGTTTTTATTTGAACAAGTACATATTGTAGAAGAAACAAATCCAAAGTTTCTATGTTTGCTAAGAGAGAGAGAGAGAGAGAGAGAGAGAGAGAGAGAGAGAGAGAGAGAGAGAGAGAGGCGTCGTAACGGCCTTCATCAGAAGTTTGACGAATTCTGTATATCTGTGTATCTGTCGTCGCCACGGGACAGTCATGTTGTTTCTTATAAAGTATAGGGGAACTAGAGAGGACATTCGTCTCTTTCTTTCCGTTATTTGTTGAGAAATATCATGTTAAATGTGACCAAGCTTATGAAGCGATGAAAACCACATGCGAGACGAAAGTGTCCCCAAAAGTTCACTACTGCGTGATATTTACGTGGTGAACAGTGACATAGTTTCAGTTTTGGCACGCAGTAGCCAACCCCCCTCTCTCTCTCTCTCTCTCTCTCTCTCTCTCTCTCTCAAGTATCCTTTAAAAACGATTTCAAGTTGTTAAAAAACTTAACAAATCGTCTGTGTCATTCCTTTTTGACTGACACGTTTGAACATGAACAAAAACTTACGACGTCGCGCAGCGTTCGGGAAGGAGCGACACAGAACACTGAATTACAGGGTGCAGGTAAGATAAGCCGAGCGAGGATGACAGAGTCACAAATAAGTAACACGTGTGGTGGTGGCGCGAAGTGGTCATATGTGGGTACAAAACCGGTCACCGGTCCAAGGATGGAAAATAAAGACGAAGAGCACCGCAGAGAGGTGGCAAGCGAACCGTTGTTAACATTGACCAGTGAGAGGTCAGCAAAGAGGTGGCAGAACATGTTGACAGACCCTTGGTACGCGGAAATGTACGATATAATGACAGAGGGTGAAGCAAAGTCTCCCCAGTTGATAATCGAAGAGTCATCCGACATTAAGGGAAAAACGAAAGTCGGGGACATGACAAGAACGAGAGAAGAGCAGACTGACATTAACGATGAAGACGAATTGTTCCCCTTCACATGGAAATCAAAGAGACACGCTATATCAGTAACAAAATCCGACGTTCTACGATTGACCGACAACAAATGGTTGAACGACAACATTATCGACATTTGTTTGTAGTCTCTGTATGAAGAACAGTCGCCATCACGGGACAGTGCAACAGTCCATGTCTGCACAACTTTCTGGCATCCCGAGGTCATTGACAATCAGAGAGTGCATTTGACGAAAAGTGGATGGAAGGACGCAATCAAGAATAGACCAAGGAAGTTGCATCGACTGAGCAATGAACTGCGACGCGCGACAGCCACTATAATACTTGTGATCCATAACAAACATTGGATTGTTCTTCTGTTGCTCAATGTTAGATCCTTCTTGGCAGTCACTCACGACAACCATGTCTACGAACCTCCTATCGCCATCGTTGTTGACTCCTTGAAAGGGAAGAAGCGAGAGGAATGGAAGGCCTTGCGAACATTTCTGTAGCACGAGTACCTCCATGAGGCATCCAACTCAGGGGTGTTGACACTGGAAAAGGTT